GACAGGCCATGAATCAAAGATATGAAATTAGAACTGCCCTACGACATTGTAGAAGCCCAGTCATATAAGATAAAAAAGGGGGAAATGTAGGGACCTGCTGGAATATTCGCCTTTGTTTCAGAAAGCAGCAAGGGGAAGCACCCATTGGAAAGCAGTAGGTGCATTAAAGGATCTGGAACTCTGATTGAACTCTTGAAATCCTGGACTCGCAGACAAGACAGGAAGCTGGATCTGCAAACAGAAGGGCTGATAAAGAGAAACATGTGCACGCACTGTTCTCAGAAGAGAACAATCTGATGAAGTAAAAACACAGATCCTTGTTATCTCTGGCGTGGGAAAAAGATCAAAGAGAACATGTTAGACTAGAATTCAAAGAAATGGCTTTCATCCCTTTTCAGAAGTCTATAAAAATAAAGTTGCAGCTCACATCGGGGCTGCAGTCTTGTATCGTCTGTGTGTGTTTGACTCTTTGTGTCTCATTTCACTTATCCGGTCTGCAACACAAATGTGTGTACACACACACACACACACATACACACAAAACCTAAAGAGAGGCATAAAATAAGATCAAAACAGAGAGACATACGTATGTAGACTGAATCAAGAGATTGCTCCCCAGTTAAGAGGAATTCTGTGAGCCTAATTACAATAAAAATTTCGCTAGGAGTTCTTTTTGACTTGGCACAGTCATTAAAAATTCATCTCTAATAATACAGAGGGAAACACTGCCATGAAAATGTTGAAAAAGGATGGGAAATTTTGTATTTTAATAGACATTGCACTCTATTTTATAGATAAAAAGAGAGTGTAGATGATGGAATATTATTGCAGGAAGCCTCCCATTAAGTGGAACAGAGTGGGAAATCCCAAAAAAGACAAAGATAACTTTTTAATTTAAGTTATGACAAAACATTTTAAACTAGGTGAGAAAAGATCGTTTGACACAACAACAAACAACTTTTTTTTTAAGTTCTTAATTGTTAAATTAAGCCCCAAAATCAATCTTGGATGAAATTAAAGCCAAACAAACAAAGTTTGGGACCAGGGGAAGGGGAGGGAGGCACGCTGTGGAAATGCATTTTCCTCTCATCTGGAGAACATGCATTGGTTTTTCCTCATAAATCTGCACTCGGTGACATATATTGCCACATCAATGAAACCAAGAATAACGCCCTCTGTGCCTGCATCCGCTACATTTCCATGGAAACTGGCTGAGACCTAGAGGGCTGTGGAATAGGAATTTAGCGAATTTGTTAGGGGAGTTTTCTGGGGAATTTAGCAAATTTGTTAGGGGAGTTTTCTGGGGAGAAGCCTTCAGAAACCAATAGTTCCTGTGCCCCAGTCCTGGGCAAAAACTGCTTTTGCAGGTCTGTACTGGAGCATTGAAGGGATCCCAAACAGGACGTCCATCGCCAAGATTGGAAACGCCTGAGTTTTGCAGACAAGCACTGGACGTGTTTGGCCCCCTGGTCTGTAAGCCCTTGAACAGTGAGTGCTCTTGCTGACTTGTGAACGCGCACTTCTGTTGCTGGGCTACCCTTATTGTAGCCTGCAAGCGATCCTAGCCATGGCATTTCCCGGTGGGAACGTTGTAGTGAGTTGGTTGGGTATCTTTAGCTGTGCTTTTGGGCTCAGCTGGCGACAAAAAGGTGAGAGTGAAGTGAGGTGTGTTTGAAACCTGTCACCTCTGCGATGAAGATATTTGGCTTAGGAAATAAGACGGCCAAGCTGCCCTCAGAGGACTCCAACAATCTGAGGATTTCCCAGGCCAGTATACATACTAAAAGAGGCGCACCGCCTGGATACCAAATAAGGGACAGAGATCTCAGAAAGATCCACCGCGCTGCTAATGAGGGTAAAGTGGCGAAGGTTCAACAGATTCTTTTGGTGGGCAAGAATGGGTTGAATGACACCGACAAAAGGAAGAGGTAAATTACTTCGTGTCCGTGATAAGAGAAGACCTTTAATTTGTGAGAGAAATGAGATCATTTTCTACCACAAAGTGTATCAAGATGAGGTGTAATGGAAGTGTACACTGCTGGAATTGAAGTCGCTTATCCCGAACGTCCATCCATTCCATTTATTTGAAAATATCTTTAGGAAATAGAGAAATGTAATATATACCTTGTTGCTTTCAAGTTATTTCTAACTCATAGTGATCCTGTAAGTCTGAAGAGACCATCCCAAAAATTGTCCAAGGCTGTAATTTTCAGGCAGCAAACTGCCACATCTATTTTCCATGGAACAGCTGTGGGTTCAAACCTACAACCGTCTTGTTAGCATCCGAGCCCTTAAGCACTTCGCCACCATTACTCCTTAGACAAATGTAATATACACTTTGTTTTTCTAAGAACTGCTTTAAATAGCAGTATAATATGGAGAACCCATAGAATAGATTTTATAAATAATTTTCAGATGGAATAGTATGCGATCATTAAAGTTGCCACTGATGTATGTTGCCATAACAAATGTATATTTTGGTAGATCATGAAATGAGAACAAAATCAACTTGATTGTACATACACACTGACTGACATCTTGCATTAGCCAGAAGTATTGAAAAACATGGTAAAAGTTATTATTTCCAGGTGTTTCATTATAAGTGAATTTTTCTTCTCTGTCATTTCTGCAATGAACATACTTGTATAAAAATTCTAGTAAATTTATTAAGAATGCAATCATCTTTGGAAATAAGAATATGAATCTTTTGCAAGTGAAAATACCTCTCACTTCCTAAAACTTGTTTTTGAGGATTAGTATTTTCTGCCAATGTTTAGCTTCTTCTGAAAGGAATATTTTTATTACTCTGTGTTTTATTACTCTTATTATGCTGTGCTTTTAATGTGTATATGTTTTTATGTGCATATATTTTATTATATATGGACTTATATATCAATGCTTATGATGAATAATTTTATTCCTCTGAGTACTAAAGCACATACCCAATTAAGAATGTGATGACATAAAATGGAAACTTTATTTTACCCATTTTTCTTAACACAATTTTTCTTCCCAACTGAATTTATCAATCCCTTCAATCATGTTTGCATCCATATGTTCATCAAACATAACCTGAACACCAATTACCATTTTCTACTATCTCTCTGTTCCCTTTATTCCTTGAATACATCATATTTACCTGTTTGTTCTGAGTAAGTTGAAGAATTTGAAATTGAAATATTAGGACTTAAGGCCAATTGACGTTTTTGTCTCTCTCTACAAAGAAAAGCATTTTGGGAGGTAGTATGTTTAAAAATATCACCTTAAACTGCCTTTTAGAACTCATAAACAGTATTAAATACTAATATTAATCATTGGAAATAAATGATTTGCATACATTCTGTAAATCTCAATATTGAAAAAAACGAGTCATGCTTACTTGTTTTATCCCTGAGTTGGTTTTGGCTGAGTTAACATTTATTCAAAATCAATTTTTGCTGTTGTTGTTGTATTTGTTGTTTTTATTTCAGCCTCTTTTCCCCTTAATTCTTTTAAGAAAAGTTCATTTAAATGAGGACCACGTGATTAGAACTGTAACAGGACTATTGTATATACTGTATTTCACTTAATGTAGGGCAGGGTGGATTGATTGTAAGACGTCCTATTTTATGTATCAATAAGAATTTTTTTTTTAAATTCTGCCAGTTACAGCTGGAAGACATCATTGATTGTAAGTTGCACTCCAGTGTCAAAGTTGTTAAATTGTGATCACATGACTAGCTTAGAACCATTGAGATAATTATTATCTCTAATTCCTCATATAGATCTGCAAAGTACAAACATTAGTGTCATTTCACTGAATTGAAATGTTGTCTTTGTTTAGAACATAGTAGTAATAATAAAAAATACTATTAGCAATTATTGAGCTGTTATTTGTGCTGGGAATTGTTCTAAAACTTGCATAGATTCTTATTTACCCATAATAGTGGTGGTCTGTGAGATAGCTACTATTTTAATGATCATTTTATTGATGGGGAAATTAAGTAAATTAAGTAAAACTAAATCATAGCTAATAATTAAGTAATTTACCTATGTAAATTATGTAAAGCTAAAAGCACAGCTAATAAGTGACAGAGTTAAAGGAAGATTCAAGCCCTACTTGGGCCTAATGCAAAGATTATACCCTTTCTTTTCTTGCTTTTTTTAAAATTTTTATTGTATTTTGTATGAAAGTTTACAGAGAAATTCATTTTCCATACAGAAGTTCATACATGTTTTGTCTCATGACATAGACTGCAATTCCACACAGTGTAACAGCTGTCTTCCCACTTCCTCCCAGTAGTTAACTTTTCCCTGTGTCCTTCCCTTCCACGTATTCCCACCCGTTCCCCCACACTGTCTCCCGGTGCAAACACTGCCCTTCTGTTTTGCCATGATTGATCACTCCAAGGAGTGTATCTACCTGATGTAAATGTTCACCCCTTTTGCCTGTCTGTTGTTTGTCTGGAAGCTACATGCCCTTTCTTTATAAATAGGCTGTCCTCTCATTAATATAGCGAATAATCAGAACTAGCAAATACTTAACTTTCTTCAGAAGAAAATCAAGTGTTTGTTTTGAAGATATAGGATTAACATGTTGTGTCATGTTCACCATTACATGTATAATTGTATGTATCTGACATAGTGCATATAATTTTCTAAAAAGTCCTCTTACTTTCATAGGACTGTGCTACATTTGGCCTGTGCCAATGATCATGTAGAAGTGGTAACTCTCCTGGTAGAGAGAAAATGCCAGCTTAACCTCTGTGATGATGAAAACAAGACAGCTCTGATTAAGGTATGTAGTAGCCAGCTATTTCAGTACCAAGTGCATTTGATTTAAATACTTAGAATAAAATTGTACTTATCTTATTTAAGTATAACTAACTGGTATAAATATATGAAATATTTATATTTAAAAAATTATTGAAGTAAAATAGTTTGAAATTTGCCATTTTCAAGTGTACTTTTCAGTGGCATTGATTATATTCACAATGCTGTTCAATTGTTGCCATTATCTTTTTAAGATCATTATTTATTAATATGAAGAAATTATTAACATTTTAGTTATATATATTGTGATCTTGTTGATCATGCCAAACAGAAATTGTGTACCTGTTAAATAATATATCCCATTCCCTTTCCAACAGACCCTTATAAACACTAATATACTTTGTCTCAGTGTATTTGCTTATTTTAGATATTTCATGTAAGTGGGATCATTCATTGTCCTTTTTAGTGTGTGCCTTTTTTCACACAGCAAAATATTGTCAAGATTCACCCATGTTGTAGCATGGATCAGAACTTTATTTTGCTTTTTGGCTGAATAATATTCTATTGTATGGCTAGACCACATTTTGTTTATCCTTTCGTCTGTTGTTTGTCATTTGGGTTGCTTCTACATTTTTGCTATTGAGGATAATGCTTATTATGTAAAAACACTGGTGTACAGGTATCTGTTTGAGTCCATACTTTCAATTCTTTGCACTTTAAATGAATATTTGGGTCATACGTGCGACTGTGTTTGGCTTTTTTAGGAACCATCAACTGTTTTCCACAGTGGCTGCCCCATTTTAGATTCCTTCCAGCAATGAACCAGGGTTCCAATCTTTCCACGAATTTCACATTCTTGCTAATACTTGTTCTTTTCTTTTTCTTTCAATAAAATCTGTTCCAGTGGGTATATGGGATGTTTATTTCTAATTCCTAGAATTTACATTTGATTTCTCTTTATGATACTGGCAGGCTGTACAGAGCCAGGAAGAGGAATGTGCAACTATTCTGCTGAAACATGGTGCTGACCCGAACCTGAAGGACTCCGATGGCAACGCTGCCCTGCACTATGCTGTCTGTGAGGAGAATATATCAATAGTCACAAAACTGCTTTCACACAATGCTGATACTGAAGCAAGAAATAAGGTATTTATTAAACAAGGGTAGTTATAAAATATTGGAAGGACTTTTTAAAATATGATGTAAGTAGGGTCGATTAAACATGTGTGGAAGTTCAAGCATTCTCTGAGTGAAAATATTTTGAAACACCTTAATTATCTAAGATTTCACTTTAAATGATACTTTTCGAAGAAACATTAGGGGATGCAGCTGTCTTTTAATGCATTTATGGTAAATATTTGTGGAAACAATAAATTTAATTGTTAAAAGTGAAGCTTTTTTCAAATATTTCTTCCTCCCATTCTTAGTTATCTTGTCCTCCTATAACAGAAATACCACAGGTGGGTGACTTTGACAAAAAAGATATGTGTTCTTTCACGGTTTAGGTGCTAGATGTCTGAATTCAGGGCACCAGCTCTAGGGAAGGCTTTCTTTATCTTTTGGCTCCCAGTTTAGGAGGAATGTCCTTGTCTCTTTTCAAATCTGTGCACCCAGCATTCCTTGGAGAGCTCTATGTATTCTAGCATCAGTCTGCCCTTGGTTCTGTGAGATTCTCAGCATAGGACTTCCACATCCAAAGGACACATTATACTAGTGGAATTTCTTTCTTGGTGGTAGCGAGGTCCCTCTGCTATCTACTCACTTCTCTCTCTCTCTCTCTCTCTCTCTCTCTCTGTCTCTCTCTATTTCTTGCAAGATTAAAGGTGATCCAGGCCATATCCCAGGGAAACGCCCTTAACCCCTAATGTCAGATCAGTACTGTGATTCGAGTAAGGGTGTTGCATTCACACTCATTCCCATACAACTTATTGGCTGATGACATCACACATCATTGGGGGTAGGAACATTATTACAAAAGTGCCATGTTACATGACTACATAACTGC